AGGAGGAGGAGGAGGAGGAGGAGGTGGAGGAGGAGGAAGAGGAGGTGGAGGAGGTGGAGGCGACGGCGGGGAGACCGCGGCGGCCCAAGATGGCCGACGACGCGACACCCACCATGTCAATAACACCCTTCTTCGGCGCAAACCAACCCCTTCCACCCGCTCTCACTTCCGGCACCCCCGCATCGCCGGCAACCCCCGCCGCTCTCCGGCCGTCCTCATAGCCGACTTTCGCAACCATCGCCGAGCGTCGACGACGAGATATCTCGCCACCGTTTCCCCGGTTTCTTGCCTCTGTCGGTAATTAACGCGACCTCCCTGCTGCGCCGGAAAAGTGTAAAGGGACGCTTGGTACTCGCCGAATGGGGTGGCGTGCGCGGGCGTGCGCGCGCGCTCGCGCGACGCGCGGGGGTGACAGAGCGACGGCGGGCACCACTGCGAGCGAGGGCGTAATTCCGTTAAGTGTCTTCGTAAACTTCGTTAGCTGCATTTCCCGACATTACCCACCCTACCGCGCTTCTGCCGCGCAACCCTCGGCGCGTCCCCCGCGAGGGTGGAATACGGGGTCGCGACGACGACGGTCGCTGCTGCTGTTGCTGCATGGTCGGTAATGTTACCGCCGATAGGTCGCGTCGATGGTCTTTCGGGGTTGCGTAATGGACAGGAGCCGAACGGAAATATATTCCACGGCGCGCTACAAAGCCAGCCAGTCGCCATTAAGCTTAGCGATACCAAAATATTTGTTACCGCTGAAAACACGCCGATGCTACGTAATGATACTTTGTACCCTGTATGTGAAACCATATATTGCAGATCCTGGCGATCTTTTCGCCGCGACGGGCGGCGTAATATTGTGTTCTTTGTATTGTTACTCAAGTGACACGGTCAACGATAATTAGCGAAAAATATCTCGCGTACGACACTTGCAAAATTACGCGCTAACCAAAGAGGAAATGATTTCGTTATTAAATTATAACATCATTTCGATGCACTCGATCACGTTGAGATGTGCGGGCCCGACCACGGTGATATTATTTCGAGGGCTCATGAATAATGGACAGCATATATTAGTGTTGCAAATGTAACATTAGTTACATTTGAATCGAAGATAATGATAATCATTAACCATAATTTACAAATAATATATGAGTTGATTGTGCCAGAGAGAGCGCAGTAATTTCCACCGAAGCAAATCCGCGTGCGGTCGCATGATCGCTAACGAACCGAAAACTATAGACTACATTACGATACACCGTTAAATCACTTTTGCAACTCATTGTGTGCATTCTACCAACTGTTTATTATCAGCCAAAACGTGTGTGAAGTCGCGGATATATGTCTTTTATAACAAAAAAAATACATCCCACATATAAAACATGCTGTCAGTTTTCGGGAAGCAAATTAGATTAGAATTCCGTAAGGTACTGATGTTCTCGACAGTCATTAACTATTTATTAGTTAAAGTGCGTAAAATCGAGAGGTTATGTATTTTATAACAAAAGAATATACTCCGTACAAAACGTACAATCAATTTTAAAGAGAAGCAAGTTAGAAATTGGATTAGAATTTCACAAGATATTAATATTATCTATTGAATCTCACAAGATATTAATATTATCTATTATCTTTTATGATCTCGACAGCCACCAACTGTCTATTATCAGTCAATACGTATGTGTGAAATCGAGAAGATTATGTCTTTTATTTAAAAAAATATGATTTTCAAACTCTGTTTTAATTGATTTAAAACAGCAAGTTAAAAATTAAATTAGAATTCCATAAGATACCAATATTATCTATTGTTATTTCAATAATGCCGAGTCCCTGTGTCAACACAAACTTACACTATCGTGAACGTCACTTCTAACATGAAAACTTTCAAGAATATTCTTTTCGCCGCTTTGCAGGCAGATGTTAGCGGACCGCGATGCTGCGTTAAATATAATAACTCCAGAGCCGGTCTTCGCGCTCGAACGACTCGAATTATGTTACATAATATTCGCTTACTTGCTCTTCGAGTATCGCTACGTACAATGGGAGCAGGCACCTGGAAGTTCGCTCAGCGTTTGGTTTCGTTCAAGGTACATTGTATCGACTAAACCATACAGAACTGACGGAAATCTTTCTCTCGAGTTACTTAGCAACGCTTCCATTACCAATCGTGCGTTCGCAATCGACACGTGACGTCGAGTGTGACGGATGGATTTCGTAACACGCGATAGACGCGTTTACGCGTAATCAAAATAAATGTGACGAAAGACGATAAAAGAAAAGAGCGTTTTTCAATTGACTCACCGATATCCATGGCGTTATCATATTCAGCGTTATTCTTGTGAATATTTTCTAAAACAGAAAAATTTTGCAAACATTATTACGAAGCAATTACAAATTCCTGAAATGAAGGATTGAAGAAGATGCTTCCTCGATGAAGAGAATTTTATTATTTCTAAATAATTTGATAGAGACCGCTATTAAACATTCGTTTAAATAAATATTCGAGAATGATGCGGAGTTGCACGCATTGTAAACTTCACTAAATATATTTTCGCGCTAAGGCAAAGCATGATTCTTTGGTTTGGACTTTTTCTTTTCAGCACGGAAAAATCGTCTACGAAGCACAGAAATTGATCTCTGACAGTGAAATCGTTGGGTTAAACGGCTGCCACGACTCAGCGGTGAAAAGCACACACAGGAAGGGAATGAAAATTACCGCGCGCGAACAGCACCGACGCGGGGAAAAAGGAAATAAAGGCAAAGAAAAAAATCACGAGAGCAACGTCGGCGCGCCGAAAGAAAAAAAGAAAGATCCTCCATTAATAGGCATTATATTTTTCGTTCTCCACATCGCGAGAACCAGTCGGATTATGGGCCTGTCAACGGTCTAATAACTGGTTTAAGACCCTGCTCCGCATCTGATACGGGAAAAGGACCCTTTCTTGTACAATGTGCGCATTAAATACTAATCGTAATGCACGCCAGCGTGATCGCAATATAATGGTACCGCGAGCTAGGCGAATTCGTGTATACAGCAGCTTCAAAGGTGCCGACATAAAAAACGAAAGACAGAGTGAGAGGGGGTGAGAGAGAGAAATGAAAGAAAGGCAGAAGAAGTACGTTTCGACAGACGTGTAATCTCACTTTCGCGAGATATCCGTTTCATTTCATAAAAATGATTCGATTTGTGCGAAACCAGGGAATTAGCTTTGCGGAGATTTTCAGTGAATCATCCGTTTTTTAACTTTAGAAGTCTCGAAACAAAGGGAAGTATAGAAGCTGCGTCAGCTATTGCCGATTGCGAGCTCATTGCCGCAATCCTTTGCTCGTCGTCCTTTCTACAGATCGAAGAGAGAGAGATAGAGATAGAGATAGAGATAGAGATAGAGAGAGAGAGAGAGAGAGAGAGAGAG